CCAGGGATTTATTGCATTCAAATTCCACCATCTGTGTGGCGGGATTAGAACTCAGGTCCCCAGGATGTGACCTGGGTGTCTGGCTTAACAGTCCAGCGATGATACCACGAGGCCATTGCCTCCCCATTATTGATGGTCTACCTGGATATATTTGCATAACTGACAATATTGCAGTCATGGACTTTGAGGAGCACATTTAGGGCAATTGTTAGTGACATCATCCTCACCAGGATGACAGTCAATGCAATTTGCAATAAAAATGTGTGCATGCTTGCACAACTTTGAGTCCCTAAATTACTCCCATGCCATCCAAAGTACTGAGCCTATTTGCACATGCCATGTGTCTGTTTGTGAGGACACTTCCATGTGACCGTTGGAAGAGATACAAAGCTGCTTACTCAAAATACATGCACACCGCAGATCCCCAGCATGTGTGGTAATCATGAACTGCACGCTCAATGATCGATACAAAGTCCAGGAAGCTGTAAGGGTAATGAACAGTGAGCATCATTCCTTCACCACCAATGTTCATGTCAATATGATGGGCACACATGCACTCAAAGATAGTTGCTTAATAGCTATTTCCTGATTTCCACATGCAAATATAATGAAAGAAATAGCGGGATAGTCCAACTGATCTATCAAACCTGCTCCACCTTTCAGCACAATCATTGGCTGACTTCCTTGCCTGCCCCTTTCCGTAATGCTTGATTCCCTTGTCATACAGTTTTCAAAAAGACCTGCATTTATATTCTATAGTCTTTCATTTCGAACAGAATATCTAAAAGCACTTCATGGGCAATTAGAAATGGCCATTTCTGAAGAAGGGTCTAGGCCCAAAACGTCAGCCTTCCTGCTCCTCTGATGCTGCTTGGCCTGCTGTGTTCATCCAGCTCTACACCTTGTTATCTCAGATTCTCCAGCATCTGTAGTTCCTACTATCTCTGAAACAATTTTAACCCCACTGCGAAGCCTCTTCTAAGGATGCCTACCCTGAAGAAGTTACCCCCCTCCCTCCGGAACAACCTCAGTGGATCTCTTTCCCACTGCAACTGTCTCGTAATCTCTTCGGCCTTGAAACTGCTCGACCACGTCCTGAAGCAAACCAGGTACTACAGCCACATCACCTTTCTTAGTACATGCCTACGGACCATTTCTGAAGAAGGGTCTAGGCCAGAAATATCAGCCTTCCTGCTCCTCTGATGCTGCTTGGCCTGCTGTGTTCATCCAGCTCTACACCTTGTTATTTCTCTTCATGGACAATTATGTGTTTACACTCTGTCGCTGCTGTAAAGTTAAAAAAGAATGTGGCAGCCATTTTTGCAAACTAAAAGGTTCCACAAACAGTGATTCGATGATCCACCAAATAATCTGTTTTGGTGAACCTTAATTGAGGGATAAATATTGGTTAAGACCAAGTGACCAGGAGCCTCCTTATTCTTTTTCCGCTTTTGAGAGGGCCTCAGTTTAGCATTCTAAAAGTTTAGTTTCCTATCCACTCTTTAATTAGCAATATGGTCAAATGACAACGATGGAACATTTCTGCCTTTATAGAAAATCAGGACCAGTGTGTAGAGTAAGGCTAATGCAATAGTTCATTTTGTACCTCAGGTTTACCATGGATCTTGTGCATGATGCTTTAAAATAACTGTTCAGAGGCAGACGTTTTAACTCGCTCATTTACTTAGAGTTAAAATTGGGTCATTGCGTTGCTACCGTTTCTTGGTGATATTGTTAGCTCATGCTACTTTTAACGCACCTCAGGATTATTATGTAATAGCCCAGATGAATATGTGCTGCCTTTAATAAGTTTGGCAAAAGATGCGATTCCAAAATACTGCAGTAGCTGGTTCATTGCCACTCAGCATTGAAGGGCAGCATGGTGGCTCACAGCCCCAGGTTCAGTTCACCCTCAGGCAACTGTTTGTGTGGTGTTTGAAAATTCCCTGTGTCTGTGTAGGTTTCCTCTGGGTGCTCTGGTTTCCTTCCACAGTCCAAAGATGTGCAGGTTAGGTGGGTTGGGCTATGCAGATTTACAGGGAAGGCGGTGGGTCTGGGTGGGATGCTCTTCAGAGGGTCGATGTGAACTCAATGGGCCTAGTGGCCTGCTTCCACACTGTAAGGATTCTAAGTATTCACTCATTTCTGTAATGTGTGTGCTTGCATCTCACTGTATTTTGATCTCAAATGGTCCAAACCAAATTATTTAAAGCGCAGGCTTTGAATAAAATTGCTGAAAATGTTCTGAAATAAATTTGTGGAAAAACAGCATGTAGACAGATCTTCATTCTCTCCAGAGTGAAGACCTTTCAATTGAAGCTATCATCCTCCCATTGGGGCATTCAGCTGTGCTCCTGTCCTGAAAATATTGTTTCTTTCCTAAATGGTCAAGGCAAATTCCAATATATCTTTTAGGTATACCTGTCAGAAATCAACTGCACGTTTCAAAAGCTGTTTGTTTGGCAATGATGCAGAGTGTTTGCTGTTGATTTGTAGCAAATGCCACTGGAGACTCACTTAGAGATCAGCTCCAGATAGTCTGTCATACACTAGTAACGTTGTCACATTTAAACCGTACAGAAGGAAGAATGCAAGGACTTGAAATCAAATGAAGTCTGGCGCTGTTTTGTTTACAAAACTGCTTTCCCTTCACAAAGGCAGCCTTTGTAAAGTCCCCTACTTCTTAACTGTTGGTAGGAATGTATGAATAGGCTTTCAAAGGGAGACTTCATTGAAATTGCTGTTGGATGAGTGGCGCAATATTTGTTGTTGCTGTTGGACTGGGCTTCTGTTTCTCTTTGAATGTGCTTATGGCTATGAAGAGTATGGTCTGAAGGCTGATTGCAAACCAGCATATACAATACTCCAAGGAAGTTGACACCTTTCAGCAAACATTGATAGTGCCCCATCACTGTGGGTAAGCTGAGCAGGCTGTTTCCTCTCGAGGGTAAACACTGGGCATGAGGCAACTGTGCTTGTTAGCAGACTAATGCCACTTACGTTCCTGTGGTGAAGGCAAATTGGTGAATATGAATGAATGGAGAATTTCCAGTTATTAAATGCCACACAAGACCACAGAACACTCCTCAGAGACTTACAACTGACTGAATTCTTTGGACACGACGGTGTATAGAAACTGAACAGCAGTGCTGGTTAAAGGATACGTTTTAACATTACTTCTCTTTATAAATAAATGTAAACAGCTTCATGACAATGCGTCGGATTTTATCGTCCTATGGGAGCTGTTTGGAATGTTGTAGAAATTGCAACATTCCACAGATGCCATTCCTGCTGTTCCTGCCTTGTCCGGCACAGTTTATCCACTAGTGGTAGCCATAATCAAATGGTGTGGAGCAGACTCAATGTACCGAATAGCCTAAATCTATATTATAGAATCATAAAATCATAGAATCCCTACAGTGTGGAAGCAGACCATTCAGCCCATGTAAGAGCATCCCATCCATAACCCCCCCCCCCCCCCCCCCACCATATCCCCTATAATACTGCATTTCCCATGGTTAATCCACCTAACCAACATATACTTAGACACTGTGGGCAATTTAGCACGGCCAATCCACCTAACCTGCACCTCTTTGGACAAGTGGATGGAAACCGGAGCACAGACACAGGGAGAATGTGCACACTCCACACAGACAGTAGGCCAGGGCTGGAATCGAACCTGGGTCCCATGATGCTGTGAGGAAACAGTGATAACCACTGAGCCACCGTTCCGTCCCATATCTTATTCCTTTATGGCATTGGTTGGCCTGTCCACCCTTGAGCCAATTGGAGGATGCTTAAAGGCCTCCTGACACCTTGTTGGGGATCTTCTCTCTGGTGGCGAGAGGTCCAGCCCCATGTTGCACTGGGAGTGGCTAATGGCCAGTTAAAGATGGGTTCGCGTACTGAGGACACCCAACAAAGTCTTACCATCTTGGCAGTTACCCCATCTCTGCCCTTTTCTACCCCAGATTCCACCCCTATTAACTCTTAACCCAGATCATATCTGCCTCTGGAGCAGGTGGGACTTCAACCTAGGCCTCCCAACTCAGAGACAGGGACAGTGCTACTGCACCACAAGAGTCCCATAACCAGTTTTGTGAATGGAATACTAATGTGAAAGATTACTGCATTTGCCTACATAGCACTAATTATTACACTTTAAAAGTGCTTCATTACATTTGAAGCATCTTGGGATCTTTAGTGTGTTGAAATGGTGTATAAATGTAACTGTTATTTATTCTATTTTGTAACAAGTTTAGCTTTTGCAAAATAATCCCTCCAAATTGCAATGATTGCTGATTTTCTAGAGTTAGAAAATGGGTAGAGCCAATTTTGTTACTTTGTCAGTATGATGTGAGATATATGGAAATCAGGTTTTTAACTCTGCTAATATTGCTCATCTGAGTTATGGGTGAGTGTTAGTAATTAGATGAGATTGATGGGGTAATATGTTGAGGTTTTGTTTAGCCATTTAAAAAAATATGGGCAGGGCTGTTCATCACTGCCAGATCTAATTGGTCCCCATGCCCCAAGCCAGGGATTCCACTCCTGATAGTTACCTTCTGAACCTGTATTAGAAAGTACATGGAGTTAAATATTGAATAAAAACAGGGTTGAAGCAACCTGGATCCTCCACAGGTTAATAACGCTACCAGGCTAGCTGGCTTTGGTCATAGACGAAACATGACTGCTGACATGAGATAGCAGAGGGCTTCTGAAATTAATCTAACCCCAGGATGAGTCTGGGTGAAAGGGACAAAGGGGCTTTATTATGCTTTTTAAAAAGTAGGTCAATTATACTGAAGAATACAAATGAAAGAACAATTAAAGCTTTTACTTCTAAAATAAGCGTTTTGAGTTCTTCTGTGGAGAGAATTAATTTGCAAGTCCTCCATATCAAAAATTGTGTAACCATCTGGAATCCCATTTCATGATTGACACGTTGGCAAAGATCTTTCAGCAATGACCTGCTCACTGTTTATATGTCTTTGTTCTAGTGGCGGCCATTTCTCCCTGGAGTGAAGTTTGAGATTATCAGTTCACCGCACATCTCGCTGTACACAGGTAAATCATTTGCAATACAATTTCATTTACATGAAATTCTTGATGCATGAATTCTAGGTGGATTTTGGTGATCACCAATGTTGCCATTGAGTAACCATGGCTCCACCCAAAAGTTCCCAGATGTTTGCTGGAACGCAACTGCTGTATTTTCCTTCCTGTTATGTAGCCAGCTGCAATGGAGAAAGGACGAAAGGTAACTATGCAAATGCTGTAAATTTCACATAAAATGCTGGCAATGCACAACTGGATCAGAAAGAAAAATAATTGTTTCTGCGGTGCATATCCAAATCATCTCAGAATGCTAATCGTTTTTAGCATTTATTGGTTTGAATATAACAAGTGTGAAATCTGTCTTCTGAAGAAGAGACATGCCAGACTCAATGTTAACTCAGTTTCTCTCTCCACAGATGCTACCAGACCTGCTGAGTTTCTCCATCATTCTCTGTGTTTGTTTCAGATTTCCAGCATCTGCAATATTTTGCTTTTATGTGATTGCCAGGGTTGGAGGAAGACCTGGCCATTGCTTGTGAAACATGGAAACCTTATTAAAATGAAGGCTTTCAGTCTCTGTAAAATAGTTTTCTAAACCAACCAACCCCTGGAAGTATGGAGCTGGAGGAGCACAGCAAGTCAGTCAGCATCCGAGGAGCAGGAAAGCCCTGATGAAGGATCCTGACCCGAAACGTCGATTGTCCTGCTCCGCGGATTCTGTCTGATCTGCTGTGCTCCCCCACCTCCACATTTTATCGACTCTGACTTTCAGTTGACTGCAGTCCTTGCTATCTCCAAACCCCAGGAGTAGGATCGTTACTCAGCCCTTGTCTTTTCTCCAACAAAATTGGAAGACTGGTTTATGTCCTATCTTAAATATTTAACATTTTTACTTCCACCTGACCCAAACATCACCTGTTTTTGTGAGAAATTTAAATTTATCCATATTGCCTTTGAGAAAAAAATTGTTTCCCAAACCGTTCTTTGTTTATAGATGTGTGTTGTTTGCATATCTCCTAAGGTCAATAATGCTTTCAGTCACGGTATTTGCTACAAATCAGTCAGGTTAATCTTGTTTTATTCAATCATGGACGTTGACATCGCTGGCTGGCCAATATTTATTGCCCATCCCTAGTTGCCCTTAAGAAGGTAGTGGTGGTGAGCTGCCTTCTTGAACCGTTGCAGTCCGTGTGCTGTAGGTTGACCCACAATGCCCTTAGGGATGGAATTCCAGGTGTTTAACCCAAAAACAGTGAAGGAACAGCAATAGAGTTCCAAGTCAGGATGGTGAGTGGCTTGGAGAGGAATTTGCAGGTGGTGTTGTTCCCATTTATCTGCTGCCCTTGTCCTTCCAGATGGAAGTGGTCGTGAGTTTGGAAGGTGCTGTCTGAGGATCTTTGGTAAATTTGTGCAGTGCATCTTGTAGATAGTACACACACCTGCTATTCAGCATCAGTGGTGGAGGGAGTGGATGTTTATAGATGTGTTGCCATTAAGCAGACTGCTTTGTCCTGGATGGTGTCAAACTTCTTGAATGTTTTTGGAGCTGCACTCATCCATTCCATCACGCCCTGACTTACAAATGATCGATGGACTTTGGGGAGTCAGGAGGTGAGTTACTTGCCACAGTATTCCTAACCTCTGACCTACTTTTGTAGCCACTGTGTCATTTGGTGAGTTCAGTTGAGTTTTTGATCAATGGTAACCCCCAGAATGTTGATAGTGGGAATTCAGCGATGTTAACACCATTGAATGTTTAGGGGGCAGTGGTTAGATTGTCTCTTATTGAGATGGTCATTGCCTGGCACAAATGTTATTTGCCACATGTCGGCTCAAGCCTGGACATTGTCCAGATCTTGTTGCATTTGAACATAGATTGCTTCAGTGTCTGAGCAGGTGTGAATGGTGCTGAATGTTGTGCAATCATTGACGTACGATGTGGACAGGGGAGCCACGATGGTAGAGTTGGGGGTAAAGCTGTGACCAACATGGTTGGGGAAGGGGTGCGGAGTGGTGATCAGGATACAAGGAAGCCCAGCTTGATGGGTTTAGGGAGAAAGGAGCCAGGGGAGCCAAGGTCAAATGTGATTAATGATAAATTAGATAAAAGATTGACAATAAGGTGTAAAGAAGCACTCAGAATGTCTGCAAGTGTTCCATTAATTCAGAGACCAATGCTGAGCTGATGACAGACCTTGAGGGACGTATCCTTGGCTCATGCTGTTGAGGGCGTAAGGCTTCAACAGGAGTGGGCCCATTCCAGCTGACCTGAAAATCACCTGTTTTAGTGAAGAATTAAAATTATCCACATTGCCTCCTCAATCACCTCGGTAATGCAACCACACTACAGCCTGGAAAGCAAGTTCCCACTGCAGCCAACAAGAAAGGTAGGCACCTAGTTTTAAATGCAGTCAGTGGCTCTTTGCTTTTAACTTCCCAATCCAGAATGCCAAGGTGAGTTAGTCATTGGAATGCTCAAAGGAAGATTCGAGTATCAAGTTAGATAAAGGGATGCCATGCGGTATGATAGTCTCCTAAATTTATGCTTGCTTTCTAAATCCTTCTCCACATTTTCTCACTGTATTGAGCTTAGGGTTCACTCTATCTCAAACCTTCCCCAGGATCTGAAATTTATGGCACTTCTACCAGTCTTAACTTGCTTGTACAAGTACCATTTTTGACACAAAAGTCCAAGCTTGGTGTCCGCTAACTAGAGCCTTTGGATTTATTTAATCTTTTTGTCTGCTGTTTTCAGCCTCAACGTTATCTCCATCTACAAGTTTTTGTTCTTTAGATTTAACCAATTTTTTAAAGAAGAGCTTCTTTCACCTGAGGTTTTACTGAGTAAAACACTCTATTAAATGGATTGCAATGCTAGACTGGGTTTACTTGTTTCAGAGTAAAGGACATCCATTTGAAAGGGGCTTTGATAATGTAAATAATTTCTAAACCACCACTGAAAAGAAACTGGTATTTATAAAGGACTCTGAACAAATTTCAGTCCCCTGCAGTAAGAGGACCATCAGTTTATTCATTCATCAGTGGTTCAGCTAATTGCTACAGTGAAGCTTTACGGTCCCGCATACAGAAAAGATAAGTGGCAGTCTAGGATTTGAGAGAAATGTAAATTTGCAAGCCCTTAACTTGAACTCTCTACTAACCTCTGACTGAACTGCCTCAAGGGCTCCTATTCAGAAGTGTTAACCTGAACTAAATTAATAAAAAAAAACTAAATGTTATCACATATCACCTCTCTTCCGGAACGAAATACATATTTTGCACAGTTTAATAATGTGCAGGTGAATTTGATTTGAATGGCCAGTGGGCAATTTCAGACTGAAAGACCAAATGCAAGTCCCATAAATGACTTGTGAATGTTGATATATGTGTGTGGTAGAAGCAAATTAAACCCAGGGGTAAGAACCATTGCACCTATTGAATTATTCACCTTTTCTTCATTCAATTCAATTTTGATTTTTTTTGCTGGAATTTTGCTTGTCTGCTCACAGTGTTAGCTGGCTCATCTGAGTGGATATATGACTCTTCTTTCGCAAGAGTTTATCTGTGTTATATGCTCTTTCCTTAAAGAAGCTTCTGTGAGTGTCTAATCTGTGTAAAACTCTCCTAGAGACGCAATATTATAGGACCATGAAATAAGAGAAACTTAAAGCACAGAACAAGGCCATTCAACTCAGCAAGTCTGAACTACCTCTTTGAGAGAAACATCATGTTTAGCCTTGGCACATCCCTACCCTGTTTGTTTTGTAACGTCTCCACACAACTCACTTTTGAAAATTTTCATGGAACCTGCTTCCATCACTTTTCACATCAGATCCCAACAACTGTCTGAGTTAAAATAATTTCTCCCCCTCTCTGCTCGATAGTTTGCCAGTGTTTTCATTCTCCCATCTTTAGCAATTGGAGAATGGGAATAGTTTATCTCCACTTATTCAATCAAAACCTTTTGATGTGAAATCTCTATTTAGTTACATCTCGGACCTCTCTTGCAAAAAGATCAACCCTAGACTTGCAACCTCTTGGCATAACTGAAACCCACCATCCCCGTAACATCCTAGTAAAAGTCCTCTACACTCTTTCTGAGGACTTCAATCTTTGCTGAACTCTGGCACCTACTTCTCAGGTTATTCTCCCAGCTTTCACATTATAGTCCACATTTTTCGCAACTCTATAAGAATCGACCTATTGCAGAGAATTTCTTCAATAGTATTGCGGGAGTGTTGTCAGGGCTTTCACAGTATCCAGTGCCTCCAGCCAATTATTGATATTACAGGGAATGAATTGAAGACTGACATCCATGATGGGCACTTACAAAGGAGATTGAGTTGAATCGTTTACTCTGCATTTCTGACTGAAGATTGATGCAATCTTTAGCCTTACCTTTGGTCTGATATTCTGGGCTCCTGTATCATTGAGGACAGTGATATTTGTGGAGTTTCTTCTTCCAGTGAGTTGTTTAATTGTCCATCGCAGTGACTGAGATGGGTCAAGAAGATTGTTGGCTAGACGATATAATGGTCTAAGCAGTTGTAACGTTCAGAGCTAATGTGATCTCCAGCTTCAGGCAGATTGTAAGAGTGAATTGCATTGTTCACCAAAGTGGAGAGATGACAATGAAAGATCAAGAGCAGAAGGGGAAGTTGGATGGATTGCTTCGTACTGGCTGAAAGAAGGAAGTGGTTGGCATAAGAAGAAAAACCACATTTCTAGAAAGTGGATTTAACAATAGGTGAGTTGTGGTGGTTTCATTTCAGGCAAGAGTATTGGTTGAAGTGAACTACAAATGCATATTGGCATGGCAATCAACGGTAGAGGACATGCATCCTAAGACATGTTGTCTACACATGTATTTTGCAGCGTGCTTCACTAGCTGGTGGTAGTGATTCCTGCCTGATGTCTCTTCCTTCCTCAGTTGAGGAATAATGGGCCAGGGTTTTGCAGAGTCCATCTGACTTGGGAGGCCTTAAATTAAAAGAAACGGTGCGTGGATC